GGCCCGGCCCCTGCAGGGTGCGCGCCGGGGCGCGACGGCGGGAGGGCGCTGGAGGGCGCGGGGCGGGAGCCCAGGCCTCCTGACCGCCGGTCCGCCCACCCGCAGGTGAGGTGCGCCCTGACTGGCCACGAGCTCCCCTGCCGCCTGCCCGAGCTCCAGGTCTACACCCGCGGCAAGAAGTACCAGCGGCTGATCCGCGCCTCCCCGGCCTTCGACTACGCTGACTTTGAGCCGCATATCGTGCCGAGCACCAAGAACCCGTAGGTGTCACTGACGGGTCCCTGGGTCCTCCGCTGCCTCTCACTATCCGAGCACCTTCTGGGGAGCTTCCCTGTCGCGGGGGTCGCGGGTGAGGACCTGCCCAGAGCTGGGGCTGGACAAAGCGAGGTGCGAACTCCGCAGCCCGCCCCCTCCCCGTGCGCAGCCGAGTCTGAATCGGCTAACCTCGGATGCCCGGTGGAACGGCTTGGGAGCTTTCAGAAGCTCTGATGCTTAGGCGTCGGTGCAGACTTCGCTCCCGATTGGACTCTCCAGCGGTGAGCCAGGGTGGGAGCTGGCCTTGCAAACCCCGTCTCCCTGCCCCGTAGGCACCAGTTGTTCTGCAAACTCACCCTGCGGCACATCAACAGATCCCCAGAGCACGTGCTGAGGCACACCCAGGGCCGCCGGTACCTGAAAGCCTTGCAGAAATGTAAGTCCTGTGGGTGCTTCAGCACCCGGTTAATGCACCGGGCTTGGTTCTGGGACAGGGCTGATGTGACCCGGACCTCACCCAGCTTCCCGCGTACAGACAGGTGCACAGCCCGGCTCCCGTTTAACCGCACTTGCCGCCCCTGGGGAGGAGGCCACAGTCAGGAGCACACACAGTGGTCTTTGCTGGGGAGCACAGTGCGAGTCTGCGGAGAGGGGAGGAGGAGGTGGCCTCAGTGGGCAGGCTTCAGCTGGCTCTGGATAGAACCAGGTGGAGAAGGAGGGAAAATGAGTAGAGGGAGCTGTGGATGCCAAGTTCTCACCTGAGGACCAGAATGGTGGTGAGACAGGATGGGTTTTAGGGGGGAGAATCCAGGTTCTTCGGCCTAAGTTTGAAGAGTACCAGGGAGGCAGCTCCCATAGCTGAGCCATGTCCAGATGGTGCACTTGGTATGGAGACACTAGGCTCACGGATGTTGGTGAGCTTGGGCCTGAGTGACGGGAGCCCTCGGATGGGGGCAGGTGACAGCATGGAGGCTTCTGCAACCTTGACAGACACTCGAGATTGGAGAGTTTAGAGCCAGGGTGCAACTGTGTCAGCAGATGGCAGGGCCTGGCCTTGGGCAGGGTGGCCTTTGGGAGTGCAACTCAGGAGGGAAGCAGAGGGGGCCAGGCAGAGGGCTGGAGGGGCTGGAGCCCCTCAGGGGCTGTGCTGGGACTCCCAGCCGTGGGCAGAGAGGAGCTGAATGGAGTCCCTGTACATGAGAGGTGGTGGTGACAGAGTTGTGGAGCTGGGGCCAGGAGGCCACTGTGAGGTCACTGTGTAGCTGAGGGATGCAGGGGGAGGGATGAAGTAAGGAGGGCCCTGGAGATGGGTAGAGAGGGAGCAGCGACATCAGAGGCCAGGGCTCAGCAGGTCCAGCTGCCTGTGAAAGATGTTGATGGGGGTGTCCCCCCTACCCCAGGGACTCTGGCCTGTTGGGATGAGCCCCCCACAGCTCCCACTACACAAGGGGACAGCAGAAGAGACCCTCTCACGAGCCTTGTCCCAGATCCACATGAGGGGTGGCTAGGGTCAGACAGCTGCCATTCTGCTGAGCTCCACCAGCCAGGACTGGGACCCACAGTCTGCTGGTGACAGGCTGACGGGGTGCAGGCCTAGCTGTCCCTGAGAGGCTGGGCCAGCTGGTTCCAGGCTGCATGGGTGAGGCCCAGTAGGCCTGTGCCGCTCTTGTCGGCCACATTCCACCCACTGCCCGCCTCCACACCTGGCAGGACCTAAAGTGAGGTGCTCCCCCCTCTGCTGCTCTGTCCCACTGCAGGAAGGTGGGGGTGGCCAGGCAGAGCCCCTCGGGTCAGCTCTGGGCCCAGGGCACTTGGGGGGCTGTGGAGGGTACCAGTGTGCGCTGGCTTGTCCCTAGATGAAGAGTGTCAGAAGCAAGGTGTAGAGTACGTCCCTGCCTGCCTGCTACAGAGGCGGCGGCGGAGGGAAGACCAGATGGACAGCACCGGGCCGCCTCACCCAACAGCCTTCTGGGAACCTGCCACCAGTGAGGAAGGAGAAGAAGGCCTGAGTGATGACAGCATGGCAGACCTGTACCCACGTAAGCAAGGACAGCCCCTGTCCCCATGGGCCCAGCTCAGCCTGGTCTTGGGCAGTGGTGGGCTCTGGGCTGTGGGCTTTGTCCTTCTAGTGCCCTCCCCCCCTGCCGTGCAAGGAGTGGCCAACGGACCCAAATGAGCTTTAGCCAGACCCTGTTTCCCCTGTTTCTTCTAGCTGAGCTCTTTACCACAAAGGACCTGGGACAGACCAAGAACGGGGACAGCAGTGACGTCTCGACAGAGGATGAGCAGCCAGAGCCCCTCAGGGAGCAGGCCACTGGGGACAAGGGTCAGGGGACTGGTTTGGGAGCAGTCCGGAAGCGGAAGCGTGGCAAGGTGAGCCCTAACCTCCAGCCCGCAAGGGCATCAGCTTCCTCTAATGTGGTTTTCAGTTTCTTAAATAAGCAAACAAAAAACCTTTTTTGCAAATGAAATCCCAAGTTAACAACAAGGAAGTGAGCAGAGCTGGGAGTCAGACAGGCTCTGGTCCGGAGGGGTGGGCACTGCGTGTGTGCCCTCTTGCTGCTCTGGGGGAGCCAGGGCAGGTTCAAGAGCACTGGTATGAGAGGATGACTCTCCCCAGCTGGGTGTTGTGGCCTGTCCTTGTCCCTGTAGCACAGGAACCTGGAAGGGACGTGGTGCCAAGATTCCACTGTGGTTCAGATGGGCAGAAGCAGTCAGTCCCCTTGGGTAGGGAAGCGGGGTTGGGTTGGGAGAGTGCACTGTGGGCTCTGGCAACAGGACAGCTGTCTTGTGTGGAATGCTACCCGGCCCAAGAGTTGGGGGAAGCCAGGGTAGGCCCTTCCAAACCAAGACCTAGCCATGGACTGGGTGGGGGGAACCCTGAACCCACAGGGCCCTTCCTCGTGGTCAGAGGCTCCAGCGGCGGGCGTTGTGTTTGTGCCCAGAAGCAGGCAAGCTTGCTGAGAAAGAAGTTCAGGAGCCATCACTGCAGACCGAGGAGCTTCGGCGCTTTCCAACAGGCGGGTCAGTGATGGGCTGCGGGGAAGCCCGTCTTAGACTGGGACAGCGCCAGGTACTTCCCCTCCTGTGCCTCTTCAAGCCGCCATTGTCCTCTGAGCTAGCCAGTGTCCCCAGTGTCCGGCCATCCACTCCTGGTCTCAGGACACTTTTGCTCCTGAGCAGGGCAGAGGGCATCTCTTCAGCAGGGGCTGGCCTATGTGCAGGACACAGCTGCTAGGTGGCCCTCCACAGAGCTGGTGGCAACAACCTAGCTCCCTGCTCCACCCCACAGAGGGCCAGGCCCTAGCCGGCCGGACACCACCACAGGCCCACGCTGCTACAACAAATGCCATTGTTTATTTTGATGTGTTTCCAAAAATCAAAATGTCCTCAAACACAACTAAGATAAAAAATACAGCATAAAATGAGATTTATACCTATTTCCCACATAAAGCGAATTGTTTGGCCAAAACCAGTCAGTCGGTCATGTTTTCCTTCCCTCCCAGCAGAAGCAGCAGCCCAACCCCAGTGCTGGCCCACCCTGGCAGGGCGGGGAGGCAGGAGCCCCAGGATGGCTGAACTGGCGGTGACTGCACTTGGCCTCCTGCGGTCACCCCACTTGCTGCCAGCCAGCCAACTAACAGTGGCCACGGAGGGCATGACAGTGGGTGTGGGCCAGGAGGCAGGCCTGCCAAGTTTGGAACAGAGTTAGAAGCCACTCTTCGTGCAGTGAGCATCTGAGGGGTCAGAGGGAAGAACCCCAATAAATACTAGGGGGTGAGAAAGTGGGCCACCAGGGGGAGGGCTCAGGAGCACCCTGGGACAGCTGTGGCTGTGACAGGGTTGGTGGGCCCAGGCTGCAGAGCTGGGGGAGAGCGCGCGGCAGCAGGCGCCAGTCACACAGCCTCGGATGGATGGCTCGGGGGCAGACCTCCAGAAAGCCTGCTGCCTTCCCTCCCCGGCTGGCCTCCCTTGCAAGGTGGGGGGGCGGCCTATGAGATGCCACCTGCCCTCCTGTACTCCCATAGCACGCTCAGGCAGAGAGCCCCCCAAGAAGAGAAACACAGGATAAGGCAATGTTAGAAAACTTTAAATACAGGGTTCAGATCACACCGGTAAGGCATCGCAAGTCATAGGAAGTGATTTTTGGCTGCATTCCGTAGCACGTTGACAGCATCTGAGCGAGTGGCAGCCTTGGGAGCGGTGGGACAGTGCTGCCGGCAGGGTCAGTGTGGCCTGGGGGGAGGGCAGGCACTGCCAACCAGGTGGCAGGACCCAGCTCGTGAGGTCAGTGTGAGGTAACGGCCACGAGTCTGCCCCCTGTCCTG